ATGGGACACAACTCGATACTTAATCACCAGACTAACAACCATCAAAAGAGAACCGAGTCTCAAACGTACACAACACAATTCGGCAAAACCTATACCTACTTGACACTAATCCACCATTACACAACCAGGCTTAACAAAATACTCAATCGAGTCACATAGCCCATCAAAACACAATCAGGCACAACCAATAAACCACAACGAAACGTTGATACCGATTTACTCAACTAAGTTATTCCAACTGGAGACAATCGCACAAAACAATCGGGGACAACCCGATATCTACTGATTTGTACTTGAATAACAACCCCCCCCCCCCTTCCCTATCATCACAAGGCTGCTAATGAAGAACACATCATGGACCACTACCAAAGAGTTAGGAACATCTGGGTTCCCTACCGTGACTGTGTAAGAGAGAAGATCTGATACAGGATCTGGATGTCAGCCCTGTCTTTACAAAAATGAAAATAGGAAATGATACGCCAATATCATCATCCTAGGATCAAAGAAATATACTCTACCTGTTCTATAATCACTGACGTTGGTTCGGGGAAGCTTGGGCACTAAGCTTTAGGGCACTAGTCTCCCTGGACCCCCAAACGAGGCCGCTTACTATTTGACATAGATCGCATGACTCGATGCGTGTTCAAGTCTTACCACGGGAAGAAGCTACCTGGCTAGAAATTTTCTCAAAATCATTCAGTTTTTCATCATACTGAGCACTTTTCGGGAATTTTAAGCCAAAAAGCTCCCCCTTGCCACAAGCTGGATACGGGCAAGAGTGATGCAGGGCGCCATCTTTAGAATCAATATCATATTCATTGTCGAGGTCAGGACCAAGTAGTTCAACGTCGTTAAACTCAATAAAGGTGTTCTTTACTATTAGGAATTTTCTTGGGGCCGTTATTGAGTTTAACCTCTTCACTATTCTTTCCTTTGATGCAAGTTCTGGATCCATCGAAACCATTTTGCCGCGATAACATGCAATTGATACTTGACAATAATATAAAAACACATAACATCAAGCGATATAACACAATATTATTGTGTTAAATGTTCATTTATACTCGTAAAATGAGGCTACACTTACCGATCTCTAAAATGACATTTCCGCATGTCCGTCATTGTGTCTGTTCGTCCGAGTGTCCCGGATCGTAAAATTAAACTACTAGCGAAACGAAATTGTTGTCAAATAGATTGATAATTATTATCGCGATTACTCGCATTAAAAGATAAATTTTGAGGATAACAGGTATCTCTGATTGATTTATATAGCGCGTGTATACACGCAAAATAGTTATTAATTGCAAATCTACTGTTTGTAAATGCAGTGCCGCTATGACGGTTAATTTCTGATACGATTTGCAATTTCGATGTTACCGAAACTGACCGACATTTTCGTTATATTCCAAACCTGTCTCCAATATTTTCGTAATTATGCATCAATAGGGTCTAAGGGGGATACGGAATGGTGTGTATGTATTAATAAGGTATGTATGCATGCTTGAATCACATTCTTTCTGTAATATTCAGGGTTTAATTAGTTCCGCTTGTCGAAACCTGCGGAACGATTCAATTAACGCATCAAGGGCAAAATGATCATGGAGGTTAGACCTAGCCGGGGCCATAAGACATGTCAGATAAGAAACGAGGCCCAGGCTTGGTCTAATGTTGTTGGACTAAGGACCAAGCTACTTTACTCAAACTAAGCCCAAGACCCTACTCTATATGAATTCGCAGCGTGACTAAGGCACAAAATAAATATTCAGGTGATAGACCTTACATCTGCCTATTAGCAAATGTGACTAAAGCTTTATTCGTAAAAATTGCAGGCCCCTAGCTCGCTTAAAATCAAATTTATTGGCAGATAAGGCTATTACTTCATCAAAATTAGCACGAAACACATGATAACATATGTTGGTTACTAAAATTATACATTTAGGGAAAATTTTATCAAGATTTGAAGGACAAAATAGATACGGAGACAAAACGCACAGAAAGTGTTAGTTTACGTACTTTCGGTATTGCTGTTGGTATCATAAACGTATTGAGTACACTTTTGCTCCATCGATGCGTTACGGATTTTGATACGTATAGCTAAAACGTTGTGCGAAACATGTACATTGTAATTATTGCAATACCATTCAATACAGTGTAAAATGAATTGAACATACCATTTGAAAAACTCGATTTATTTCAAACAATAAACAAGTTCACTCACCAAATTTTAGTCAACTTATACACAGCACACTGTGCTTGTTCATATAGTGATACCTTTAGAACTAAAAACAATATAATCGAAGGGTAAAATCGGATACGTAAATGACCAACGTACAAAAGCCTCATTTTTCGTGTTTTCCGTATTATTTCACGTATAAATTGAACTGACTACGCATAAATCTGGTAAATACGTTACGGATACGGATACGTGGAGCTAAAAAACGTTTTGCGAAACCTCTCTGGTCTAAAACTCTAAACGTTTGTAAATATTTGAAAATTATGAGATGGAACAACTTTTGTTCAAATAATGTCTCAGATAGTTTTTAAAATCATCAAAAGTTTTATTATATATCGACGGTAGGTACACAATAGTGAAAATCATGATAACATGTAGTTCGACGCAGATATAGAAAAATACAAAAAATATATCGGTCAATAGTATCGCCGGGTGATTTTTTATTGAAATAAAAATCCTCTTACTTATTAATCAAAAATTTGATCGCATAGATATTTAATTTGAATTGCTGTAACTTTACCTAATTCCAAAGGCGAAATATAGCTTCCTCACTACATTTTAGAGAGCCCTCTAGATGTTATGATTTTAATTCCAAATATTTATTTTACAAACTACACTTTAGAGAGAGAGCGTACATCAAACCCCTTTCCCTAATTGACACGTTCCTGCTCTTAAGTGTAGTCGTGATAAATAAGGAAACAACTTAACATAAAGTGTTTCACATTTGAAACTGCTTCTTAAAAAGTTAAAAAAGAAATGGCATATTTTAGAGAAAGTTACCCTGGTGCCGCTTTCAAACGCTTTTTCTCCTAATACTAGCCCAATTTACACTACGCGCAGCATTCCAAGACGTTTTTGCTAAAACGTTTTAGAAAAATTAAGTTGAGTTTACATCACCATTTTCAAGACGTCTTAGGAAATAAGATCGAGTTTACACCTGTTTTCCTAAAACGTCTTAGAGATATGTAGGTATACATGTAAAATGAAAAAAAGCAGTTCAGCACTGGTTGAAGGACGGTTCAGTCAATATCGCTATTCCTTTCCCGCTTTTATACTTTGTACCCGACTTTGTACTAAAGAATGCATCGGTTTCAGAAAAATATGTCCTAAAGACAGCATTGTTAAAAGCATGAAAGAGATCAGGAAGATTTTAGGATGCAGGATTATGATAAATCGCCAGGCAAATAAGTTCTTCTCAATAATTTTGGGATGATATTGGTAACAAGGGATAAGACAAAATAAAGGACCATGCGACATATGTAAATGGAAAGTTTCAAATGTTTCGTTCGGCGCAACGCAAAAAACGGGCTAAGAGCTCTTAGCTAAAACCGATGGATTTACACTTGCTTGTAAAACGTTTTAACGCTAAGACGTCTTGGCAATGACTAGGGTCCTAAAACGTTTAAGCTAAGCGCTCTTAGCCGAGAGCTCTTGAGTAAATTTGGATTTACATTACATTTGTAAAACGTTTTAACGCTAAAACGTTTTAGCTAAGACGTCTTAGCGCGCTAGTGTAAATCCACCAATTATTAGGCTTCAAATGGATCTGAAGGGTTACTCTCAAATGATACACCAACTGCACGGAGTATGATTTAAAATGATTTTTGAAGTTTTCCAAATGTTTTAATGAAATATAGCATACTCCCCCACGGTGGACAATCTTTCGATGAACCCGTGGTAGTCTAGTACTAGATATATGTGTTTGGGGAGATTCAATACAGTATTGGCAGATATAGTACTTTTATGGTAATAATTAAATGCAAAATAATCATCCAATAACATATTAAATGGTATGCTATAGATAAAATGTTTAACATTGTTATATAATTTCTTGAATTTCTTATTTTTTACTAAAGCAATATTAACCCTGGGTGGTATTACATTGTGTTGCTATAGTAACCATCATAGAGCAAATCAAATTGCTGGATTTTTAATCTTGATGTAGAAGTTCGATTTTCTTGAAGAAAGTGTGGATCATGTTTTAACAAGGCATTAGCATGCAAATGTTAACATCTGCCATTTGTTAAAGAGAGAATCAGATCTAGCGAGCAGGCCAACAAAAAATAGCTTCAATTTTAGAAAATTTCTGGCTCATGTCATTCCTTGTCATGTCTATTTTTCTAAAAATCCCCTAAGTGCACTCTTTATTTCAGGAATTTGGAGATATTATATTTGAGATTGTAAAGAACAGCTTAATCAGTTAATAGGCCAATTGTACATATTACTTGTAATTTTTTCACCCACTATAGATCTGATTCTGCCTTTAAAGAAGCCGACTGCCAACGCCAACCAACGCCACAAAAAGTTGGAGACTTTGACATAAAAAAGTGATCACAGCCGTCTGTCAGTGCCCCTCATTCTTAGCAAGGCAAACTGGCAAAGATGGTCTTAGTGTCAGATGAGTTTCAAAATGATTGTTTCATTTGCATTGAAATGGCATTATCTTTGGACCAAATACGAAAATATGATTATAATTATTGCAAAATACTTCTTGTATGATCAAAAATTGCTACGAGAACTACCAGTGTACAAAAAATTCGAAATGTATTTAAAATACTGTAAAGAAAATGATAATAAGATATGGAATGAATGAAGAAGGATGTGTGTGAAATGGAGTGAATGTGTAAAACATACTTTGTAAGAATATATTACAGAAGTCAATATGTTTTTTTAAATAAATAAAAAATAAATAAAAAAATAAAAAAAAATAAAAAAAATAAAAATTATCTTTGAACTTACTTCTCAGTGTAAACAAAACTATTGCAGTGAATTTCAAAAACATTCATGTATTTTTCTTGTAAAAATATAAAACTATACAACACCTTGGCTTACAGTTGACGATTTTACAATAAGATTTTACAATAACACCACAAATTATTATAATGAAGAGTCTAATTCAATACTGATTTAACTTATTAACTTTTCTTGTTCATTCCATATTTTCCACAGGTCCATGCCAAGGACCTCATGCATGGCTATAGTGTCTCTATACGCTTCTTTTGTGTATGGTACATTGTAGTAATGCATATGTTCAGAGTGTGTCAATCGTATTCCAAGTTTCCATGCCACTATACCAATGAAAACATCATCAAAACGCGTATATTTAGTATATAACATTGCTATGTTGAATTTGTGTATAGTTTCCATAGTAACTAAGTAAGAACCAGCGGTTGGATATGGCGGCCAATAAAAATATGGATATTCCTCAAGCGTCACATACCACTTGGAGTTTTTTTGTCGCAAAGGTCTTGCATATGTCCATATATAGCCTGCGATGAAATTTTTACGTTTTGATTCTGGAACTGTGTGGATGAATTTTTTCAGATTCCTATTTGAGACGTAATAATCGTCATCCAAGAAAAACGCATATTTGGCATTACTGCAGTATTGTTCAACCCATTTAAAAGCCAGCATTGTTTTAATTGTGTTATTCCAATAACTATCTTTGAAAAAATACTGCACGATGTCATGGAATGCTACATTTTCTTCATGAATTTGTTGCTGTAGTTCTTGGTTAAGAGGATCAACACCGACTACAAATACTCTACGCGTCCTAAATCCTAAATCGTTCATTTCCAGGCCCCAAGTTCTACGAATCATGTTCCTATTTTCAAAATGATTCATCGCTGATTTTATAACTAAAACTACATGGAGATCCCCAAATACGCCATTAAGACATTTGTCTTCTGCGTTTGACACTTCAGGATGGATCAGTCTATTCAAGGGTCCTACCCAAGGTTTCTTACCACGCTCAAACGCAGCAACTAACTTAGGCATATCGACCTCATGTGGATATTTGAATTCACTGAATGATTCAGATCTTGCCATAAGATATATGCCAAAATAGTCAAATATAAAGTGCACTGGTATCAATAGTATAAAAATGTAAATATATCTAAATCGCCAGTTTCTCATTCTTCTCCGAGCCATTTCAAAGGAAGATTCTTGTTCCATTAGGCAGAATTGTATTTCTTCACAATATCATTTCATAGAAGGTACATCAGCAGAGTCATCATGGGCATTGAGCCTGAAAGTAAAAGAATTTTCAAAGAATAACATTTACAATGTAAAATTTCTGCACATGTATCATGTATCAGTGATCTCCCCAGCGTTAAGCAAGTGGGCGCACACCCACCTGAGATTTCGGAAATAGGCTTGCACCCACCTGAAAATCCATTTGCACCCACTTACCAATTTTGGTCTAAATTGTGAAAATGAGAATTTTGCACCCATCTCAGAAAATACCATGGGGAAATCACTGTGCATATAGGCAGTTTTCTAGTATATTTCCTGAAATTGCTTCAACAGCTCAAGTCAGGTAGGGTCAAAGAAAGTGCAGCTACTTGGACTTCCTCTTTGCTAGCCTGCCAAATTCAGACCATGAAAAGGTTATTTTCCAAAGTGTAAGCTAAAGATTAAGACTGTCACTTATCCTTCCAGATGTTAGTAAGCATTCATGAATGTGACTCTATCAGCTTTATTTCGTTGATCATGATGCATAAGGACAGTAGGCTATCTGATAAAAATTAATTTTAATCGTTTCAATGATCCATTGTTTGAGGAGAGGCAATCTGTGCAAGGTCACTGATGCCTTTTGCTGGTTCGGTTTGCATGTGCAAATAAAAAAAAATTCATTCAAAGATTGCAACGCCATCTAAATGTGAAATAGTTTAAAGTGATTTACATGTGCCTTCATGAAATCGATTCAACAATTTGTTCAAAATAATATGATTTTACCCCAGCAAAACCTAGCCATTTTGAAACCAAACAGCCTATCAATGTAATGGTGCAAGAATGTTTAGATTAAGGTAAGGAGCTCTGAGAAAAGTCAAAAACTTCAGATTTTGAGTTTTTCATGTTCTGAACTTTTGGAAAAATAAAATGGCGGAAATGCACCTCTGGGCCAGTGACAAATCTCATATATAATAATTAAGTCCCAGAGGTGCATTAATGCACCAACTTACTGTATGACAGTGAGAGGTAAACTCGTTATTATATAGGTATGCTAGTAGTTGAAATTAAACACTGAATGACCGAAAAATCCCTATATGAAAAAGGATATATGTAGAATAAAGTCTTCGAGAAAATACAAAGAGGAACACGTATAGTTCCCTCACTTAAAGTTCTACCCTACCCTTAGAGACTAAAGGCACTAGACCTTGCAACACTTGCCTATAGACGCCTACATGTACATGGAGATATGATAAAGACTTTCAAATATAATAACTTGTACTACGATGCCGGCACAACAGCAACATTACCCAATTTCCAAGCAAGAGATACACAGTGACATAATAGAGGGGGAAAGTCCCCACCACTCCAGAAAGTCCACTGCAAGACCTCAATGAGACAAAATATGTTCAGCCAGAGTAACAAACAACTGGAGCAGTCTCCCAGATTACGTAGTGAAGTCAGCCCATGTTGACCAGTTCAAAAACTGCCTTGACGCTCACTGGTATCACCACCCACTAAAATTCAACTTTGAATTTGCTGGCGTACAAGTAGCCCCCAAGCTACATTAGTTCAAAATAGTATCAGAACTGTCATACAGGCAACATCTGCCTAAGATGGAAAATTACTAATAAACTTATAATAATATTTGTACTTCACTTCTAAAAGAGAACCGAGCCAAGCAGAGTTCGTCGTCGAAATACAGACGACTTTCTATATGGCCATTTCCTCTGACATCCCAACATAGACTCTGCGCGCAGCTCTATAACTAGGGGGTTCTGACCATTTTAAAAAATACATTCTTTTGATATCAAATCACTCTCATTAGATGCAGAATTTTTTTCTGAGTCCTATGCTTTTTACGGAATCAGAATCGGTGAAAAAATGGCCGAATAATGTCAAATATAGTGGTTGAAATCCATGGATATGGAACGGACATTTTAATCCCATTGAAAATACATGGGATTCATTGAAATACATTGAAACTACATGGTTCCAAAATGGCCCTTAAAATGGCCTAATATAAGTGTCATTCAGTGGTAATATTCATATTTAACAAGTTTGAGTTGAGTAATTGATCCCAAATTTTCACCGTTTCACCTTCTCATGTTTTTCTATCAGATTATAAACAATTGAAAAAAATTCAAGATGGCCGCCTTAGTAACAAGCACAAATAACAAAATGGCTGCCGATATTTGAAAATTCCTATATATTTCATCTTAAATAACCTACATTTGTCAATCTCTGTTCTGTTAAAACACAACATACAGACTTGAAATGTATCATGTTTTCACTATTTTGATGAAGAATCATGATTAAGTAAAATAAAGCACCTCTGATAATATAATGGTTGCCATGGTAACCCCCATAGTAGCCCGACCCTAAGCAACAGAAACAATGTACAAAATGGCAACATTTGTCCACACAACTAATATATAGTATAATATACTATCTTTGTTCAGCAATACAGAACTTGGTTCCTTTAAAATTCAAAATACAATACTGACAATTATTTTTGTTGCCAAGCAACGGGATAGCAACCATTTATGTCAATATACCTAGATTTATTTAAAAAAATGATTTAGCATAACATTATTAATTGCTTTGAATAATGTTATTTTTAATATTTGTAGTTGTACAAAGAACCATAATAAAGAACTGGTGATAATATAGTGGTTGCCATGGTGACCCCCATGTTCAACATTTCTCTATATTTATTTTGGTAGGCCTAATTGTGGTAGACATAATTGTGAAATATCTTTGGTCAGCAATAGATATCTTATCTCAATCCTGGTTCTTTTATGGTTAAAAAACAATACTAAAGAAACCATGTTTTGTTGCCAAGCAACTGCATAGCAACCATTGTGTTGATATACTAGTACCTAGATTTATTTTAAAAATGATTGTAGCACAAACTCTATTCTGTTGAAATGTATCATGTTTTTACTGTTTTGATGAAGAACAATGATTCAATAAAATAAAGAACTGGTAATAATATAATGGTTACCATAGTAACCTTCTAGGTAGCCCCACCCTAACCAAATGAACAGCAACATTTCTTGTTGAAAAGGGGACTGTTTGTTTGATGACATTTGCTTATTTACAACAGCTTACCTTGAATTCGGATGAAATGCCTTTAAAACCGTTGAAATTGAAGAGGCTCTATGCCATAGGATAGCACAATCAAGACACCTCTGGACTTTTTTTGCATATTTAGTTTCACTACATATATTTACCAAAAAAGATGTCCCAAATCCCCCTCTTTCAATGTTAATTTTGCGATTGTGCTGGCCGATGTAATTATTTTTGAAGAAAGTAATTCAATCTGAAGTTCGAATATTCCGGGAAAGTCCTCCTGATTGGTCGTTGAATTTGTTTATCATAAACCTTGTTGGCTCCCTGTTTCAAGGGCTTATGGGTGCTTGTGGGGATTCCCCTCGATAGCCTAGAAATCGATTGCGTTTAATTCTGCAGTTTGATTGTTCTGTTGATTATATCCGATATTTCGGCAATAATATAACCAAAAGTTAATCTCAAGATATATCCATGATATGTGAGATATTGTTTGAGCAATAACAAAAGGACATCATTGATTGTCTTGGGGAGAAAACTATGGCATATTGCATCTTTAATAGCCATGTCTTCATTTGAGCAATGTGTAAGTGTAGAAAATGTCCATTGTGTTTCCTCTGGTTTGTTCGAGCGTTAGCATCCCCTGCCTCTAGTCGTATTGTCTAACAAAAAACCTTTTTTGGGGTTGTCGCGTTGGCTGAGAGGTCTTGAGCGCCAGCACATTCCAGCTAGGTATATGGGTGCCTTAAACCAAGAGGTTGTGAGTTTGAGATGTGTGTGCTCCTTGTGTTAATCCATTCATTAGAAATGACCATGCTTCTCTTTCACAGCCTGAAAAAATATTATGAAGAGTTACAAGAAGTCACACTTATTACTGAGAGTACAGTAAAATAGAGTACCTATAAGTATGTATGTACAATTTATGAAAAAACTTTTAGAACATACATACATAATCTAGTAGTCTACTGCTTATTGCAATAGATCTCCACAAAACAAAATAGTAGCTTTAGATTTTACACTTACATATGTCAAAATGAACACAACTGGGAACAACCACGCCTCAGAGAGCTTCTATGTAAGACACTGAAAAAATAAAAGTAGACCTTCAAATTCATGGGGAGTTAGTCAACCCTCCCTCTTATATTCTCTAGCCTATATTATTTTATAAAGATAATTTTGGAGGGGGGATGATTTACTCTCCATGTGAGACACTATCAGTTGCAAGACTAACGCCTGGCGTAACCGTCACCATGTTATTGAATATTCAGCGTTTTTAAGTAGCGCAGGGATCCTGCCATGACCGTGGTAATGTTATCGTGAAAGCCTGGTATAACCGCACATTACCACGGTCATGACAGGCCTTGCAATATAATACAGCGTTGTCACAGTTATACCAAGCTTACACAATAACACTGCATCGGTCATGGCATGGTCTTTGCGCTACTTAAAAATACTGAATAACATGGTGACTTACTTCGGTCCAAAGCCTTCTCTATATTCCGGCTTTGAGGAGGAAGATTGAGCTGCCTTAGTATTATAAATATTGTAAATCATTGTGTCACACGCACAGTAAATATGGCATAATAATATGAAATATACCTTTATGTATAGATTTGAAGAACATCAGCTCACATCCCCGTCTGAATCTATTGTTATATTTGATTTCTTTAAGCGAGAATAATTTCAAATGTTATTCACGTCCAGAACCGGAAGCCATTTTTAGCTACAGCGAGAAAATTTCACCATGTGTCAAAACTCCGAAATGAAATTTTGAAATATCTAAATCCAGACAAGCAACGCTTCATCCTAAATATGATTAATATTCTTAAAAATATTTATAAAATTTATTAAAAATGAGTTCTAGGTGCGTGTAGGTGCGTGTAGCACAGTACATACGAAATCAATGAAGTTTCGTCTAGCTCTAAGCTAGAGACTCGAGTAAATGGTGACAGTTACGCCAGGCGTAAGTCTTGCAATAGATAGCATGTGCTCCATGTTCATATTTAGGAAAATTAGTCAGATATTATTTTTCAAGTAAAGTATTTTTCTATAAGTCAATAAAATAGGTCCCATTGATTGAGACAGAAAAAAATTCAATGTCAACAAACAGCTGATCAGGGGAAAAACTGGGTCACTTGCGACTTTCAATGATTGAAATTGCATTCACTCAGTGTCACCAGGAGTTTGTACAAAGATCACATAGGAAGGGAAGTAACATGATGTTATAGGTGTGCTCAAAATTCTACAATAGTATTGTTTAAAGAATTAGATCTCGGCTAGAGTTGTACATTTTGAAATTTAAAAATCATTCGAAAATAGATTTAAATTTCCCGTTTATTTTCCACTAATTTCGCATTATATGAGCGAGCGGGGCTCAAGACAAATGGTATATTGTTTCTATATATACTTGTTTATGTAATTAATCAATAATTTCTTTGAAATACAGACTAATAACTTTGTAAACTCACCTTTAATACGACGAGACCAAAAATTAAATTCAAATCCAATATGGCGGGAAATCTACATCCGGGACTTTCGTCAATCTACAGCTTTAATATCTCGACACCACTTTTCAGAGCAAAATGGGCATGATGTGGTCATAAATAAATTGGCGATTTATGATGCTATTTTATCCGATATATACTCAATTTCATTAGAATGAGTGAAGCACTCGGAAAAAACTAATAATATGAGCTAGGCCTCAAAAAGACCAAATCACTAGTAGGCTACTTCAAACTACCAATTCACCTCTTTCTACTCTTTTTTTGCACTTGCTTCACTCGATAAATTAATTTTTAGCATATTTGACTTTTGCATGCGAGATTTCAAGTCATATAGTTAAGTATTTGTACTGCCCATTTTTACTCGAAAACTTCTGTCATTTTTCTGAAGGTAAGAAATTTAGGGGCCACCATCTTGAAATACGAACGTCATAAAAATGTAATCAAAATTCATATTTTTCAACAAATATGCGGTACTAGGACATTAAGGTCTCATGGAAGTTAACAGGAAATGACAAAACAAAAAATGACAAAGCCATGCTGGATTTTGAAAATTTTTTGAACCAAGATAACAGAGTTCTCTTTGGACCTCCAGTCAGTTTAACTAGTTCCACATATCATTTACATGACCTGGAACACAATTGAAATGGTCAGAATGACCATAAACATGATAAAATAACCTTTTTAGCCCTCTGAAAATGTGACTGAAAAATAGCTAAGAGTCGGTGCTCAGGAGAGGTCACTGAACAGAATCTTTTAATTTTTTCAGAAAATGTGCCCAATATATTGCTTTAAATGATACAATCTTTGAAATTTTTAAAAATCGTCTGAAACAATAATGGCTGGAGTAAAAAGGAAAATAGATCGATTTTCAATTCAGTTTTTTTCATTTTTTTCTTTTTCTAAGAATGATATCAAATTTTTTTAAATTGTATCATTTAGAGCAATATATTGGGCACATTTTCTGAAAAATTCAAAAGATTCTGTTCAGTGACCATTCCTGAGCACCGACTCTTAGCTATTTTTTAGTCACATTTTCAGAGGGCTAAAAAGGTTATTTTATCATGTTTATGGTCATTCTGACCATTTCAATTGTGTTCCAGGTCATGTAAATGATATGTGGAACTAGTTAAACTGACTGGAGGTCCAAAGAGAACTCTGTTATCTTGGTTCAAAAAATTTTCAAAATCCAGCATGGCTTTGTCATTTTTTGTTTTGTCATTTCCTGTTAACTTCCATGAGACCTTAAACGTACAACAAAACTATCAGTTTGTGTAAGTAGTGTATATTTATTTAATAATATTCATTTTTACGGTATTTTATAACATATTTCATGGATAAAATGGATCATATTCAGGTTGTCCGTGGATAATTGCGAACGTCAGAACCCCCTAGTACTATAACAAGAAAAAAAATAAAATTAAAAGTGAAGTGGGCGATAATATAATATTCACAACTTGTTCTTCGATAAATCTCTTATTCAAAGTACAAATAGGCTTACCTATTTAATCACAGATAATTTGGGTATCTCTTGTGCACCTCAAAGGCTATTTACCTAACTTAGTCTTACAATTCATTTTAAAACAACATTTAGATCTACCACTTCCGCTATTTTGAGCATGCGTGCTTGCACTCATCCGGGTTAGTTTATCACCCTGCACGTTTTGTGAAATTTTGCAATAACTTTGCATTTATTTCGTTGTTTCTAGAGATTTACGCATTCCTAAGGTATGGAAATTTATGTTCATGTCACATATTATTACTACAGTTGATTTTCTCGCTAGATTTAACTCAATTGAAAAGACGAGGCCCAAGCACAGGAAGTTGTAAGCTTATCAATTTTTCAATTTTTGGTCCTTTCTTACCATAGGCCAAGGGTAAAGTAATACTAAGCTGTATATAGAAGAGACTGTCTCTTCTATATACGGCTTACTATTACTTTTCCCTTGGCCTATGTTTCTTACCTTATTCTTCGGCCAAAGTGTGGCCTTACGCTTATCATGGACCACAGAGGTTGAGGCTTATTTTCAGCTCGTATCTGTTCACATGTTAAATTATGAAACTTTACAATTTATTTTACAATAAACTATTGCACCCAATTCCATGAAATCGGTCTCAAATTAATAATTAATCAAGGTTTTACCATTGGGTATTTAATATGTAGCGTAACCTGTCTTGTGCTGATTGTTATGAAGCAAAATATGAGAGAGGTGAAACCATTTTCGCCGCCATTTTCGAAAATTTTTGTTGACATTGGCAATTCACCCAAGTTTTGATGACCATTTTTTGAATGATAAGGGGACAGATAATTACTCTCAATACATCGAAATGAAGTAATAACATGTGAAATATTTCACTTTTGTTCAGTTTTGCCCAAATAAACGCTTACAATTTTTCGAAAATTGAGTTTGAAGTGGAGCATATTTTTGACTGAACTATTGCACATTGTTTTACTCCCCGTCAACTCCATGTCAAAAGCTCAATCGCAAGAAAAGTCACCTTTCTTTTGAAATTTATAAAAATAAATTTAAAAATCAAGTGATCCCGGTGTGCACCGTTGATTTAAAAAAACGCAGGCTACTTCCGCCATATTGTTTTGGATCTACTTCCGCCATTTTGTCATGTTCAAGATCAGTCACTCAGTCAGTCTTCTGGCCAAAATTTATGCAAGCCTGTCAGCATATTTGGTTTAAGATATATGCTACCTACCTCTATAAATTCATCTTAAGGTCTGTATCACATTTATTTGATCAGGAAAGCAGAAGAAAGTTATAAATTTTTGCAAAACGTGACTTCCGGAAGTGGGCGATAATAGGGTCAAATTCACTTCAGTCAATTTGAACTACCCTTGAACTTAATTGTTAATAACGTTTGTTAGTCTTATCATATATCATTTAAATGATAATATAAGAAACTAAATATGATTCAAATTCATATTATTTTGCATGATGTTGTTGATTAATCCAAAATTAGAACTTTTGGGAATTAAAGAGGCATAATCTGATTTTCTAAGAGGCACATACGTATTATCATGGGCTCTATCAGAGAGTGGTAGAGCCCATGGTATTATGATTATGCTTCTGCTTGAAGAAATACTTACCAGCTGCACATCTATTTCTATTTGATTGGAGTGACACACAATTATAATTGAGATTGATAACCATCTGACTATTTAAAGGCACAAATTGGCCTTTACATTTGTATTTATTCAAGATATTAAAAGAGGCAGAAATAATCACATTGCTCTTGCTACTCATCAACAAGGCAACATTTAATCAAAAGGTTAATAATATTTGAGAATTTAATTTTTGTATCAGCAATATTTTGAGCCATTTACTAGACTTAAACTTTTTGAAAATACAGAATAAACATAAAGAGGCACATCTAAATTAGACTTCTTATTGATCATGCCCAAGCTTAAGATGCACTTACTCATTTCTACAAGCATTCCTACTTGTCTTGAACAGCACATGATGATTATGGATTATTAATAAAGAGGCACAAGTTGATCTCTATAATTGAAGGTATTATTTGGGAGGCAAATTTTGAGAGCCAAATAATACTTAGTAGTAGTCTCATTGCTCTTGCTACCCATCAAAAAGATCTAAAAGGTATCTTGTTAATATTAGAGAGGCACAAGATAAATCACAATACCTAAATCATAAATGTCGAAATAAATAGCCTTTATATTTCATGATTTATTTATTCAGGCTGCTTAACTTATATGTAAATAAAGAGGCAAAGCCTGAGTTTTGCATCAAGATAAAAATATTCCTCACACCATCCTACATGTCCTAGTAGCTGTAAAATATAATTTTGAATGAATTGATCAATATACTTGACTAAACAGAATTTAAATATCAGTGACAAATATCAGTGACATCATATATGACATACTGTGTCATATGACTATTATAACATATACTTTTTGACATTTTTTTTTAGTTTTCTTTCATCTTTAGACCCCTATAACTTTTTAATCATTCAACCTATCAATTTGAAAATGATTTCATTGCCTTTCTTAGCCAATTTTACACATATATGTAGATTTTTCAGATTTTTTGCTGCATAGTTTAAAAGATATTTGTCTTCCCCACCCTGATACACTTATAATGAAAACTTCAAAGAAATACTTTTTTTATGATAAAAACACACTTTTCTTGTTTTTGTTATAAAAATTGAAACAATAATGCTATCTACATTTGTTTTTCAGATTAATAATGCCTTTTTTGTATACTTTGAGAAAATTAAAAAATATGACACTCATCAGTGACTAAGAATATGACATCCCATGTCATGTGACACACACTTTTTGACAAAACTTTTTTTTCGATTTTCCATCTTTAGACCCCTATAACATTTTAATGGTTCAAGCTACAACTTTGGGAATGGTTTCATTGATTTTCTCAGCCAATTTTACATAAATATGGATTTTTTCAGATTTTTTGATGCATTTTTTAAAAAACCTCTGTGGTCCCTATTATTATGAAGCCCGCTATCTCTCATGAACTCTCATCGATTTATTTATTTTTATCCGTGAAAGATTCTGCCCCGTCGATTCCTACTTATTAGTAATAACTGAAGGTCATCTCAAATCAAAAAAATCTTGATTTCATTACGATTTATTATATTATGTGACTAAGGTTCAGCTGGAAAGTAACATTTTGGTAAAAAATTGCTATACCTGCACATGTTATTTTCTGGTACATAATTAAGTATGAAGGCATGTGTGTATTTCCTTGCTTTTTTCAGGAAAGTATCATTACATTGTCTACTTTTAGTAAACCTGGAAACAGGTCAATGGTAGCTCCTGTGTTGTCTGGAAACTTTGAAAGAAAATTTGGAAAAACAGGAAGTGTGAAATATCAGAATTCCCTGGAGTTCCCTTTGAACGCCAACCAGATATTCTAAAAGAAGACAATGTAATGATACTTTCCTGAAAAAAGCAAGGAAATTGATACATGCCTTCATACTTTATTTTGTACCAGAAAATAACATGTGCAGGTATAGCAATTTTTTACCAAAATGTTACTTTCCAGCTGTACCTTAAATAGCCTACACATGTATATTTTTACGCAGTGTGAAGGAAACATTACCAGGGAAACACTGGACTTCGATATTATGATTCAAAGCCAATAGTACTGCCCATTTCACTGTATTATTTCATCAGTCAAACCCCAAAAATTAGAAATCAGGAGACCATTGTGCAATAATATCACATGCTATCTTATCCCGATCCCGGACTATAGCCTGCACTGATCGCATTCATTTGCCTGTACGATTACAACTTGGGAGAATTATCTACGCCCCTTACACTTAAGATACCTACCTCAATGCATTATAGAACTCAAGATGTAACTTCTAATATATTGGAACCGCCGATTGTCTGGGTATATCGGCAGAACGGGAACATTTTCTCTTTTTCATTGAGAGAGATTCCATCACTTTTCAAAATGGCGGTTTGATTTAAAAGGGGAATCCCCCGTTTGGCTGTCCCGGATGTAGCCCGGAAGTACCAATATGGAGGAATTTGACGGTTGAAATAAGTTAAATGTTACACGCAAATATTACGATCAAAAACGAAAATGTCTTCGTTCTGCCGATAAACCCAGACAATTGTGGATTCAACTACACGAAAAGAATGCTAAATTACCAAGGAATCTATTGAAGTAGGTATCTGAAGTGTAAGATCAGTAAAAAATTCTCCCATGTTGTAATCGCACAGGCAAAAGATTGAGATGTTCACAGGACCATAGTCCGGGAACGGGATAAATGCTATCTATTGCAAGACTAACGCCTGGTGTAACCGTCACCATGTTATTCTGTGTTTTTTAAGTAGCGCAAGGATCCTGCCATGACCGTGGCAGTGTTATTTTGTAAGCCTGGTATAACCGTGACAACGCTAAGGCCTATCATGACCGTGAGTGTTATCGTGGAATGCTGGCGCGACCGTAGCATTTACGTTTAATTAAAGATTTTTTTACTGTTGTTTATAAACACAGGCTGGTATCGAAAGATTTGTCCGCTGAGTTTGCTATTTTTCATAAAAACACTAAAAATGCTTCACGATTTATTTTTTAACTCATATGTTTCGTTATATCAAAGATAATTACTTACTCCATCCAATGGATATATCATTTGCGTGTAACCTTCACTTCTGTTTGAAGTTCAATAATGCTAGGAGTAAAATCTATTGAAAACGGCGCCAGAGTATCAAACTCTAAAATGTACCATTTCTTTTTTAACTTTTTAATGGCATGATATAGTGACACGATAATATTAACATATGTTTTAAGCATAACTCTGAATGTACTAATGAGATATTAATGCATTGGGTCTTTTTAATTTTTTTAATAAAAAATAATATTAATATTTTTTGTCCGCTGTGACGGAGCATTTTCACAGTTCACATTTGCAACTGCTCCGTCACAGCGGACAAAAAAATTAAACATTATTTTTTATAAAAGAATTAAAAAGACCAAATACATCAACATCTCATTTATACCTTCATAGTTATGCTGAAACCATGTGTAAATATTATCGTGTCACTATATCGTGCCATTAGAAAGTTAAACAAGAAATGGTACATTTTGAAGTATGATACTCCGGCGCCATTGTCAATAGCTTTTCTTCCCAGCGTAATTGGACTTCAAACAGAAGTGAAAATTACCCGCAAATAATATATCCATTGCATGGAGTAAGTAATTTTGTATGGTATAACGAAACATACGAGTTAAAAAATAAATCGTGAAGTATTCTTAGTGTTTTTATGAAAAATAGCATGCTCCGTCACAGCGGACAAATATTTCGATACTAGCCTGTGATTAATCGATTTGTTTACTATCCACTTTTAAAAATTTGTAAATTTTATGTCTCCGGTCTAAATTGTTCATTATCGTGATACAAATAAGTTGTCTTATTCTGTGTAAATGATTAATTATTTGAAAATATGCGGAAAATAATGTGAATATAATGTCAGTAGTAATTTTGATATAAACATGATTAAGGTAGTTAAACACCATGATCATATAGTGTTAAACTGTTAAATTGTATAGTATGATTATAATGACGATCACTTAAAATTGTTTAAGGATATTTCTGACATTAATGTGATACATATTTACTGTGCCCTAGTACTAGTCATTGCAATACATTATCACGGATTAAGCCTAAATTTCTACATGACCACCCACATATGTGGCCTTGCAATACTATATTACATTGTCACGGTCATGGCAGGCCTGTCATGACCGTGACAATGCTATATTATATTGCAAGGCCTGTCATGACCGTGGTAATGTTAAAGCCCCGTATGACCGTGACAATGCTTGCAAGGCCTGTCATGACCATGGTAATGCTATATTATATTGCAAGGCCTGTCATGAATATGGTTGTAATGCCTGTCAAGACTGTGCTAATGCTGAAGCCTGATATGACCGTGACAATGCTTGCAAGGCCTGTCATGACCGTGACAATGCTTGCAAGGCCTGTCATGACCGTGACAATGCTATATTATATTATATTGCAAGGCCTCTCATGACCGTGGTAATGTTAAAGCCCCGTATGACCGTGACAATGCTATATTATATTGCAAGGCCTGTCATGAATATGGTTGTAATGCCTGTCAAGACTGTGCTACTGCTGAAGCCTGATATGACTGTGACAATGCTTGCAAGGCCTGTCATGACCGTGACAATGATTGCAAGGCCTGTCATGACCGTGACAATGCTATATTATATTGCAAGGCCTCTCATGACCGTGGTTGTATTTAAAGTAGCATGAGAACACCGTAATGACAATTTTTCTTCGTGTTTAACTACCTTAAAGATGTAAATAAAGACTACTAAAAATGTGTATTAATTATCCCACCGAACAAAGTTCGAGAGGGATATAGGAAAGCCGTACGTCCGTTCGTCCGTCTGTCCATCCGTCTGTTTGTCCGGGCGATAACTCAAATACCGTTTCACGGATTTGATTCAAATTTTATAGGCTTATGCCTTATGGGTGTAGGACCTCTGCTCGAGAAGGAATTTTCAATATGGCAACTGAATTCAAAATGGCCGCCATTTTTCGTAAAAAATGTAATCTTTAATAACTCAAATACTAGTTTGCAGATTTGGTTCAAATTTGATAACTCAAATACCAGTGAACGGATTTGGTTCAAATTGTATATGATAATGCCAAGGGACACAGTGGATCTGTTGTAGTTACAATTTTCAAGATGGCCGCTGAATTTCAAAATGGCGGCCATTTTTCGTAAAAAAACGTTATCTCTGGTAACTCAAATACCAGTGAACGGATTTGGTTCAAATTTTATTTGATGATGCCTAGGGACAAAGGAGCTTCGCTCAAGATGGGATTTTCAAGATGGCCACTGATTGTCGAAATGGCGGCCATTTTTCGTAAAAAAACGTAATCTTTGATAACTCAAATACCAGTGAACGGATTTGGCTCAAAATTTATATGATAATGCCTAGGGACACAATAGATCTGTTCAAGAAAGAATTTTCAAGATGGCGGCTTGATATTAAAAATGGCGGCTTGATATTCAAAATGGCGGCCATTTTTCGTAAAAAAAGGTAATCTTTGATAACTCAAATACCAGTGAACGGATTTGGCTCAGATTTTGTATGATGATGCCTAGGGACAAAGGAGATCTGTTTGAGAAAGAATTTTCAAGATGGCGGCTGATATTCAAAATGGACGCCATTTTTCGTAAAAAACGTAATTTTTGATAACTCAAATACCAGTGAACAGATTTGGCTCATTTTTTATGATGATTCCTAGGGACACAGTAGATCTGTTCGAGAAATTTTTTTCAAGATGGCGGCTGAATTTCAAAATGGTAGCCATTTTTCATAAGAAAAATACCAGTGAACAGATTTGGTTCAAATTTTATATGCTGATGCCTAGAAACACAGTAGCTCTGTTCGAGAAAAAAATTTTAAGATGGCGGCTGATCTTCAGAATGGCTGCCATTTTTCATTTTCATTTTCGTAATCTTTGGTAACTCAACTGCCGTTCGTTGGGATTTGCTACTCCGTGGAGTTGCTGTTTTTCTAGTTTCACAACGAAAACCTAATTTTTACTCATAAATAATTTGCGAACAAACTATATCTCTGCTCTCATTCAAGGAGCTTTGATTCTAAAGCATATACTTTCTATAATGATCAATTAATAAGATTTATCCATAAAAAATACAAACAGCAACGGGCGAAACATAATGTCATATAAAGGTTATACGGTCGCGCCAGGCTTACACGATTACACTACCACGGTCATGGCAGGCATTTTAATATAATACAGCATTGTCGCGGTTATACTAGGCTTTCACGATAACATAACCACGGTCATGGCAGGATCCTTGCGCTACTTAAAAAACACCAAATAACATGGTGACGGTTACGCCAGGCGTTAGTCTTGCAACAGATAGGGTCTCAATAATATATGGAAAAGTATATTCATATTGTGCATGAATGCGCTGCTGAGTAGTTAGTAGTCTTTGTTCATATATGTCCATCTACAACGGCTTTTGTTTAATCTTCTTGGGCTTTCAACAGACAATATTTTGAAAAGAATGGTGTGTATTCTGCGGACAACGATCCGGATCCGGCAGGTTATCTCACTGCGCCTATGCCGTGTCTTTGTTCAGATATATATATCACAAGAATATATGTTATATCATTTCGAAACAACAGCTATTAATGGTTACTAAGCTTTATTTTTAATCTATGAACTATGACTATGATAGTGATCCTAACTCTTTTTTCTGACTACGAGTTCAACTGCCACATTAGGCACTGAAGCCATTATTTCATTCAATTTCTTGTGTTAAATCGATCGCATATTTTTGCATAATTGAACAAAATGAAAATCGCATCAATTTGCATAAGATCCAGAATTTTAAAAATTCCATCGCATAATTTGAGATTTTTTGCATATATATAATTTTTTACATAAAATTATGTTTAGACGAAAGCATGCAATATCTCACAAAGGACAGTGTTCGTTTTGATGAAATATTCTCATAACGATTTTTAAAATAACATCTTAGTAAAATCTATTTTTCTTCAGAATAATCGTTTTCACTAGCGCACAGTTAATGATCCAATAGACTGAATATCTTGAAAATTCAGTCTATTGATCAGTATGTCCCTTTGGAAATAAAGCTAGGGGAAGTAACAAATATGCAAGTTAATTTTTCTCCATCGGCCATTTTGAATGGCACTTTCTATGGAAACAAATATATATGAAAATATGATCACATGAACAATCATGAGCACTTGCTCTCTCTCAGCTGCTCATGCACAAAATTAAATTTGAAATTGTAGTAGAAATGGTGTTTCAACATCATCATTTCATAACTGCTGTAATACTATTTCATTTACTCGATCCAAACTTGTAGAGAATACTATAGTACTCATAAAACAACTTTCTGAGATCAATTTCAATGGCAAACGTGGCCAGCAGTTTATAAAATTTGTTTTCGAACGTGCCAATACCTGTGCTCATTTTTGGGAAACCCCCCTCCCTGATGAATGAATAATGTTTCTATTGGAGTTTGCCATTCATACATGGTGAACATGTCCAAAATCTTTTGTTAAATCTTAACAACTTGTAACTCTACACTTACTGTACTTTCCAGGTAGCCAGGTATGCCTAACTAGCTCAACATTGCCATACAACTACATTGAGAGCACACATCATGGATGGGGAGTCTAACTTAGATCAGTATCGCATGGAACACGAGAGCAATACAGAGTGGGATATGCGAAGGAAATTCCTGGAGCTTAACATTGGAAAACTACCCCAGGATAGATTGATCTGCCTATCACAGTGTCTCATCAACGCTGAGTTCTACGGCTGCAGGTACCCACAAATTGTACACGACCAACTCAAAGAGCTATCGGAGGATATCTTTCACGATATTCAAACTCATCGTGATAAAGTTCAAGTTTTGCATTCTGTAAAGTTCATGAAGGAGGGTACCAAATAGTTGCATGTTGATAGAAAAACAATAAGCAATTGCGAAACAAACAAAACGTTATCTTGAAACACTAGACACAATTTTATGGTAATATGAGTAAAGGTATTCGAGTTGATCCTCAATATTATTCAACACAAAGTTACATGCGCAAAGGTCAAAAAAATTTACCCAACAATGAACATTTTACTCCTGATCCTAGCCACCAGGCAAAAATTGCCCCCGTCTCTACTAACCCTCCCACAATAGATGACGCCTATGATGATGCCTATGGATATGATTTAAACGAACCATATGAATATGAAAACAAAGTTGAGGAATATAACGCTCATCAAGGCTTCCTTGAGAAAGGATTTGATGTCGAGGAACTGCGCATGGAACATGAAACCGCAAACGAATGGATGATGCGACGTAAATTTATAGATGCTCATAGATTTAATTTCCCTAAAGATCGACTTATCTGTTTATCAAGCTGCTTTGTAAATATTGAGAAATATGGTGCCAGGTACCCCCAACAAGTAATGGATGACATTAAAAGGTTAACTCAAGGAATGACTGAAGAACTTAATAAACATAAACAAAAAGCAAAGGACTATACAATGACAAATTTTGTAAGGTCCAGTGGTACTGAAAACAAGAAAGAAGACCCAAGTCAAGCACTGAAAAGGAAATCTGCCGAAGGGGCAGCATATGCTGCAAAAAAGTCTAAGATGTTATTTGTTAAAGCAGCTGGAGAATTTCAAAGTACTGATGTTACACATGCAAATGAGATCTTATCAGGTGATGCTGATGAAATCTTTAACAATATGTCTGCATCTAAAGAAAGAATGAAAGATGCTAAAGAAACTTACACGGGCAACCCCATGTCAGACCCAGGAGCCATAAAAGTGTTGTGCTATAAATTCCTCAGGTTGAGTAAAAAGTTGAACAGTTTCACGGATAAGTCCAAAAATGCTGTTGAGCACATTCATAATGCATGTGCAAGGACACATATGCAGCATAGGGCGGATATAAGACACAGCTGGGAGTCATTGCCCATTTGCTTTGTATGTGAAGTATACATCAATGAGGTCCTTGTTGGAGTTGGAAGAGGTCAAAAAAAGAAGGACGCAAAACATAATGGATATGCGAATGCTCTAGTGACAATAAAGAAAAAGTTTCTCATAGTTTATAAAAATGAGAAGCCAACCCATGGTCGGTTAGAACTGAGAAGTTCGGATGATCCATTTGACAATGCTGTGTTTATTAACAAGAGGGATATTATGGAGACCATAGAGCCTCCTAAACCCCCGACCCCTCCACCATCTGAAGAGTCAGAGCCCACTCCTGTCCCAGAGCCCAGTAAGCCCACTCAAGAAGATCCCAAAAAGTTGAAACCAACAAAGAAACAGCCACTCCCAGCAAAGGAATTTGTGACGCCACCACTTAACCCCGATCCTGCCATGCAAACTAAAGATCTCCCAGTTATCAATCCAAATCCCTTCCAAGACCCTTCCCTCCCTGCTCCAGATATCATGTACACCAAGAAACCTGCTATTAAAATTGCTGCAAAGTTTAAGTCTGCTTCACTTGTTCCTCAACCGAAGAAACAAGAGGACACCAGGCCTTTGACAGTACAGTGGCGAGATAGGGCCAACAATCATTCCAATCCTAAGATTGCGAATTTTGTCATTAAGGAACCAATGGAGGCTGAAGATGGGTCTGCAGAACCACTAGGTGTGCTGGTGAACAGTATATCTGCGGCTCCACAATGTGATGGTAATTTCTCGGTGAAGCCAGGGCAAGATGGCCATGTTGGAGTATTCAGTCTTGGTGGTGAGGTAAGGCTAAACTGGACCTTATTATCCTGAAATAAAGTTAGAAAATGTGTTGAGAAAATAGGGTTGACAGTTGACATGATTATGATGACAATTTGTTCAAAATTTACGATTTATGTCTCTCATCTCTGCATCTTTTTTATCCACTCAACTTAAATATTCATAAATAATCTCTTATTAACTGTTACTCTATCAGTCGCAGTCAATGAAGCAAGCCACAAGAATTAAGTGCATGTACATGCCTGATTAGATTTGTCAAAAAAAATAAGTACTTTTACATATTTTCTGTAGAGAAAACTGTCCAGGCAGAAAAACCAATCAAAAAATGTTGTGAATTTTGAGCATATTTATTGTTAATTTCAGGTTATTGCTGTAGGGAAAGGAGCCACCCCAAAGGATGCTAAACGCAAATCAGCAGAACTGGCCATGCCTTTATTAAAACAATGGTGCTGGACTTTAAAGGTAGAATATTGTTCAACAAACAGGTGCAATGTAGCTTATAGGTGTTACTTGCATCAGAACATCGACTGGACTTATATGGCTTATTGTAATTTCCCGATGTGTGCCTAACATGGTTTTATCCATCATTATTGTAAATACTATATCTTTCTATCATTTATGCTGCTAGTATTGTTATTGTTATCAGGTTGGTTATTTCTAAATTCTGAGTGTAACTGTAAGTTCCAAAACAATTTGAGAAACATATATCCCACGTCATAGGAATTTTCTAAAATTTCAGCAATTATGTAATGTAATGCTTGATTTCTTGAACATTGAATCATTTTTTGTACTTTTCTTCCAAAATTGTATGAATTTAAATTAAACGACTTTAACTGCGTTTGTTCATGTATAATTGGCATTTTAGACAGGTAAACCTCAGACTGATGGTGATAAAGTATCAAAGGAGTCCATAGGTGATCTGTCTGCAACAGAGGGGACGTCTGGAGCTAATGGAAATCTAGGCTCACAAATTGAGGGTGACAATATAGGTGAGTTGATATCTCATGAATTGCTCTCTGCAAAGGAAGATGAATAACACATACAAGGAAGATGCAACAAAGTTTGGAGGGTTACAGAAAACAGTTCCTATGTGTCTGTCCAGGCAATAACTAAATACCCTTGGTCTGATATTTGTGTTTATTTTTAACACATATGCTTTGTGGATGGACAAGTGGTGTTTGAAATCTGATTTTCAGAATGCCTGTCCCCTCAGAAATTTGCATTTTTTTGAAATTTTGCAAATAAGATTGTGGGTTTTGCGATTTAAAATAATGGATTTTGTATCAAAATTTTGAATTTTGTGATTCAAAAACTATGGATTTTGCTAGGATTTTTCATTAGAAAATTGAAATTTAAAAAAGTGAAAAACTTCAGAATTTTTTGCGCCTTTGAAATTTTGTGAATGGCACCCAATTTTGCAAAATTGCATTGCAGTCGCAGAAACGCAAATTATGAGACAGATTTTGTTTCAAAATGATTGTCATAAGTGAATAGGACCTTTGAGTTTCCAACATGGGTGCTCAATTCAAAATGGCCGCCTTTTTTGTGCAGAATATAATCTTTGATAACTGAAATATCTTTTATGATTATTGCTTTTCATCCCAATATTGAATAAAGTTTAATAGGGATATAGTGAAGCCCTCAATCTGTCCATCTGTCCATCAGTCCATTCAGAAAATAGCTCAAATACCAGTGGACATACTATGAGATCTCTCAGTTTTACTTCACTATACTACATGCAAATGAAAGGCAGTCTAGAGCAGTTTGTTGCAAATATAACATTGTATATCATTTTTTCAGATTTGTGCTTCGGAAAATCCAAAATGGCCACGCAATGTTTGAATTATCAGTTATTTTGAGATATGGCTCAAATCGAAAGATTTTTGTTTTTGTAGAGTCAATCACAATTAATAGGGAGTTTAAGCTTGCAATGTTTTTCACAACCTAAACATGAACAGAAAATATTTAAGCAATTATTTGTATGGGCGATTGGTCATAAGTATAGGTGGGCATTTTGATTTTATATGCAAGCTTAAACTCCCTATTTTTAAATTTTTCAGATTCATGCATTGAAAATCTAAAATGATCCCTTAATGTGAAAATTCACAGTAATTAAGAGGTCCCTTCAAGTGTGGCTCTATTGAAGTTAATTTTCAGTAGAACACAAATATTGTATTCCTTCACTAATATGTACATGTATTTCTAATTTGTACCCTTGAAGATACAACATGACCAACATATACTCATGACATCGTTGAGAATGATTTTAAACACTGCATTCATTTTACCATATACTCAATACAATGATCAAACACTGCATTCATTTTATTTTACCGTGACAATGATCTGATACACTGCATTCATTCACCATATACTCATGACAATAATCTTATACACTGCATTAATTCACCATAAACTCATGACAATGATCTGATACACTGCATTCATTCACCATATACTCATGACAATAATCTTATACACTGCATTTATTTTACCATATACGACATGACAATAATCTTATACACTGCATTCATTCACCATAAACTCATGACAATGATCTGATACACTGCATTCATTCACCATATACTCATGACAATAATCTTATACACTGCATTTATTTTACCATATACTCATGACAATAATCTTATACACTGCATTCATTCACCATAAACTCATGACAACGATCTGATACACTGCATTCATTCAGCATATACTCATGACAATAATCTTATACACTGCATTTATTTTACCATATACTCATGACAATAATCTTATACACTGCATTCATTCACCATAAACTCATGACAATGATCTGATACACTGCATTCATTCACCATATACTCATGACAATAATCTTTTACACTGCATTCATTTACCATAAACTCATGACAATGATCTGATACACTGCATTCATTCACCATATACTCATGACAATAATCTTTTACACTGCATTCATTCACCATAAACTCATGACAATGATCTGATACACTGCATTCATTCACCATATACTCATGACAATAATCTTATACACTGCATTTATTTTACCATATACTCATGACAATAATCTTATACACTGCATTCATTCACCATAAACTCATGACAACGATCTGATACACTGCATTCATTCAGCATATACTCATGACAATAATCTTATACACTGCATTTATTTTACCATATACTCATGACAATAATCTTATACACTGCATTCATTCACCATAAACTCATGACAATGATCTGATACACTGCATTCATTCACCATATACTCATGACAATAATCTTTTACACTGCATTCATTTACCATAAACTCATGACAATGATCTGATACACTGCATTCATTCAGCATATACTCATGACAGTGATCTGATACACTGCATTCACTTGAGCAAATACTCATGACAATAATAAAAAAACAAAATTCTCATGACAGTAATCTATTACACTGCTTTGTTTCAGTTCCTAAGGAGGAGAAATTATCTGTAAATCAGAATATATCTGCTTCAGCCCATTGTACAGGGGTGATCTTAATTATTGTTTTGACTAGTGTTGTCGCGATGTGGCATAATCGTACATCGATGCATCGGCAATTTTCAGTAGTAAACATCGATGCACATCGCGATGTACATCAAGAAAAAGTTCGAGAAAAGTGCACTAAAATACCGAACGCTAATGCACTAAAATACCGAACAGAACAAATTAATAAGAGTACGGTGGTACATCCTGGAACTTCTAGTAACGGTGAAATGAAAGTAAAGTAATTTTTTTAAATTAATGGTTCATTTCGACTAGCTAAAACAGTTTTAAAGTGAAAGAATATCAGAAAACATTGGAAAATGTAATAAGACATGAAAAAAAGTAAGCAATTTGCGTCAAAATAAGATAAGAAAGGGCGATTTTTAGCAAATTAAATTTTTCAAAAACATCGATGTTTTGTTTCAGACATCGATGCATCGCCAGAACCAGCTTTGGCGATGTATATCGCGATGTATCGATTAATCGCAACAACACTAGTTTTGACCACGTGAAACTGGGGTCAAAAAGGTGTTGAAAAGGCTGTTAGGCCTGTCAATGTCATACATTCTGTATCACTGGTCTGATGCAGGATGACTAAGTATCATTAAAGATGGTAGACAAAATTTGTTATTTATAAACCTTTGATATCAGTTAAACCAAGTAAAATACGGATCCCAAATATTTGGTCATTCAAGCTAATAAAGTTCAGATCATTGTAAACAACTTACAAAGAAATGCTCAAACATCTCCCATATCAGTGAAATTTAGATTTTAAATAAAAGTGTTTGTGTTAAGATGGTACTAACTAAAATCACATTTTTTGGCAATGATGATACTTAATCAAACAGGGGATGATATTAACTGTATGGGATGGATACACTGTAAATCTCCACTGAGTTGGCTTTATCTGTGGTGAATATAATTACATGTATGTCACAACCTCATCATTTTTGTGGATGGTATTTGTTGGTTTGTATTTGACAGTTGGCATTTGTAACAAATGGCAGGTGGTGACATTTTGCATGTTAATGCCTTGTCATAAAGTTAGTATTATCATCCATTGAGTTGTATCCTCCTAAGCAAAGTCCATTTCTCTAAATTTCTTATATTTTGGTCATGATAGGAACTTTATTAGTTTGCCTTGCTAAATATTTCCGTTCTACAATTAATTTTGTAGCTGAAATTGCATGTTGTCATCTTGGATGACACTAACTCATCTAAGTATCATCCTGCTGTGGACCAGTGTGAATATTGTTTTTATACCAGGGCTAGTATGTGAAATTTCATGTATCATTTTGTTTGTTTATACTTAGGTAACTGGATGCACTAAACAGTAATGGGTCTTGGAAGAAAGTCCATGCTATATTTTATATATTTGTTATTTTAAGTTCACCTGATGCCTGGATCAAATGGAGTCAAAGGAAGAAAGACAATGTTATATTTTATATATTTATTTATTTTAAGGTAACCGGATGCTACAGAAGATCGGCTGGACTGGAGGAGGTCTTGGCAAGAAAGAAACAGGCAGAGTTCAACCAGTTTCCCTTGAGAGTGTCATTAATAGGGAGGGTTTGGGTTATACAGGGGATGTCACAAATCTTAAACAAACTGTGAAAAAACATGTGGAAAATTATATAAAGTCGGGTAAAACTGGCGAGATGGCATTCTCGGCTGATTTTACATCAGAGGAGCGTAAAATTATCCACAATGAGGCTAGAAAATTGGGCTTGAAGAGTCAAAGTTATAACACCAAGATTGGACGATTTTTAGTAGTGAGTCGGAAACGAAATTTAATTCAGACAATTGAGTATGCATTGACCAATGAGGAAGCTTCAGATAAATACAAAGTTATACCTCCGACTGGGAACATTTTCTAAGTTACTGACTTTTCATTGGATTTATGCTCATTATCCCATTGGACAAGGTTCAGTGGGATACGAATACTGTATTTTCTTTCACAGGTTCGTCCAATGGACAATTGATCATATCTTATGCACATGCCCTATGTCATAAGTTGTGCTTGAAAGCTTCTGTTTTTGACAGTCCAAAATCTAAAAAATAGTTACTACATATCTTTAAAATGCATGACTATTTTTATGAGTTTGCCTTAACTAAGGTAATGAAGTGATTTTGTTCATAGTTTATATACATGGAAACATGCTACATTGTCCTCAGCCATTTCCTCAGTAAGGCAGCCATTTTGATAAATGGCATCCCGTGGCCATGAGGTTGTGAGTTCAAGACGTATGAGCTCCCTTTGTTTATTCATTTAGGTGTGTCGTTTTTAAGTTGTTTTTTTGTTAAAACTCCAAAACTCATATAATTATAGCTCAACAAGTAACTTCATCAGTCCTCTTGATATCTCTTGATATTCCCTTCACAGGTGACGATTGGAATCTTGAACAGTTCTCTTGATATTTAAATGTAAATGCATACAATCATTTAACATTATCTTTTGACAATTTGTCTTGTATTGTGATCATTTTGAGAAATGTAGTCTCGGGATCTTGTGTGCTGCTTGGCAATCTGTTCAATGGGATATGCTATTCCATGGCATTGCTGTATTATCTATTTTTCACAAAAAATGATGTAATGAACATAGTGAGAGATAGTTGAATGCACTGGCCTTTTACTATGTACTTATGTTTGTATCATTTTGGATTTCAGGATTTAACAAATTGAATAAATAAGCAATCATGTACATTAAAACTTTCTCTGTTGCTTTTCAGACCCATTCCTAGTGTGGATCCATTTTCATGGGGTCAGTTATTTCAGAAATGCAATAATCATTTAATTTAAAAATAATTCTACATATTAACTGGAAATGATAGATTTCGTAGAATAAGACCTAATCTCAGTCATTAAAACAGACATTTAGACTTCATATTTCGAGAAAATAATTCTGAAATTTCTTGACCTCATGGATTCCAGTGGATCGTGTGATGGTGCCCTGAATGGCAAGACATGATACTGTTATAACAAAATTTTATACAGTAATAATTTAAGTTCTGTCTTGTCATTCCAGGAGGCCAGACAACTAGGGATGGGTCAAATCCTGACCATCAATCTGGGACCACAATCCCTGATACTGCAAACCTTAATGTAAAAGACAAAACCTTCACACGTGAAGACATCGGGGGCAAAGGTGATATAAATGGTTTCAGAAAGGTTATCAAATATGAATTCAGGTCATATGCCCTATCTCAGACAATAAGACATATTGTCTTTAAAAAATATTGTGTAGATTTCACAGAAATTGAACTGGATGTTATCCATGAAGAAAGATGTCTGTTTGGTCTGCTAAATTTGAGTGATTGGGATGATTTTTTAGTAATAGGAAAAGTGAGGGACCTTGAAAGTGTTAGCAAAATGGATGAAAGTTCAGATACACCTAATCTTGTACCCCACTTGAAGTCTTATACAGATTCACAATTCCACGTAGTAGACAAAACCTTTGCTAGAGCAGATTTTGGATTCATCGATGATATAAATGGTTTCAGAAAAATCATCAAAAATCATCTGAAGTCATACATTAAATCTCAGACAGTAAGGTACATTATCCTTAGAGATCTACATGAAAATTTCACTGAAGCTGAAATAGATGTTCTCCATGAAGAAAAATTTAGGCTAGGACTTTCAAATACAGATGATACGGTTGATTTATTAGTATGCAAGATGAAAGACCCAAAAGGTACTAGTCAGATTGGTAAAGCTGTATGTACACCATATCTAGTGCCCCATCTGAAACCTGTCCCTCCTCTCAGCTTGGAATCAATGTATACAACACCAGACGATGCCACTGTACCTGCTATTGGGTTTGATACTGAATCTGACCTTGTATGCTTGTCTGATTCTGATGATGACATTTATGTCGTTGATGATGATGATATCAAAGGTGATGGTGTAATGACATGGGAGAACAGTGATGATGATGATGTTGAATATGAGTTAGTTGAAACAGATGATGAGTTCAAGGAGTTTCCTGATGGAAATGTGTGGCAATTTGAACTCCCTCCTAGTCTGTATGAAGAATTTGATGTTCCAGATCTTGATGAGCTACCAATTTTAGAATCTTCAATAGGAGAGAAAGTACTTGAGTCTAATAATGATGATGATAATGATGACTTGTCTAATCGTGAATGTCCAAACACTGGTAAAATTTTAGACCCTTGTCCTATTTCAAAGGAAACTACTCTCAAAAGTTGCTTGAAGAAACCTTGTAAGGCAAGTGGAGAAGTTGAAGTCAAAGAAATAAGCATACAGAAATGTAAAGAAATCAAGCCAAATGAACAATCTGATAAACTGGAAAAACCAAATGACATGTCTAAGGATCATGAATATCCAAAGACTAAAATTCTAAACCCTGGTCCCATTTCAAAGGAAACTTCCCTCAAAAGTTGCTTGAAGAAACCTAAGACAAGTGGAGAAATCATGTCAAATGAACCATCTGATAAATTTGAACAATCAAAGGAATGTCCAAAGACTAAAATTCTAGACCCTGGTCCTATTCCAAAGAAAACTAGCCTCAAAAGTTGCTTGAAGAATACAGCCAAGATAAGTGGAGAAGTTGAAGTCATATTAACTGAAGCTGAACCAAATCGCAAGGAAAACCTTACACAAGTTCTCCTTCAAAGTTGTTTTAAGAAGCCCACTCCAGATAAAAATAACATGAAAGAAGTTTCATTTACTCCATCAACAAAATCTGGTCCTCCATCCCTGGAACCTGGAGAAATAGGCAAAAAAATGAAACTCAGAAGTTGTTTCGCTCTTACTCAATCTCTTGCAAAATCTTGTGTCAATGCAATTCCGATGAAGTCAGACTTTTCAAGACCTGAAAAAAGTTATCACAAGAAAACAATAGTTGATACTGTTCCTGGTCCATTTGTCAGTAAGCTTGACATACCAGGTAGTGAAGCTTCTGTAAACATAGTGGCAGATGACAATATATCTCACACACAAACAGATAATTCAAATATGGCTAATCAAAATTTAGCAGGGAATAAAGCAGAACTAAAGAGCGATCTTCATTCACAGGAATTGACCCAGCAGAATCCTTTAAAAAATCCAAATACATTAAGTGAAGAAGTCCCACAACATGAAGTCATTGACTTGACAGAAGATATGACGGATGAAAATTTGACTGGGAATGATTCTGGAGTGAATTTTGGGTCTAGTTCCACGCAAGAGTTGAGCTCAAAATCTCGGAATATTATCAAAGATTCAAACAAAGTACAACCTCGAGTCATTGACCATGCAAAAAATATTGGTGATGAAAATTTAACAGAAGATAATTCAGGAGTAGTTAGTAGTTTAGATAAAGTAAAAATTATACAACCTCGAATTATTGACCACACAAAAACCATCAATGATGAAAATTTAACAGAAGATAATTCAAGAGAAGTAAGTGGTTCAAAGCAAAAGACTTTATTTAGAAAATTAAAAACCACTGATAAAGTAAAGGCTATCAGACCTCATATTGTTGACGTAACATACCTAAGTGACTCAGATTCAGATTCCTCTGGATCTACTAAGATGCCACTGGATCCTAACCATCTGAGACAATTGAGAAATTCTAAAGTTGTAGACCTATCTGTGTATCGCTCATCTCAGCATAAGTCCCCAGAGGAGCAGGATGAACAAAATGTTGAGGAGTTATTTCCAAAAATAAATTCTTCACAAAGTCAACAATCCAAAATTGTAACTACATACAATTCTGGAATGCTTGATCCAAGGATGATTCAAAATTCTGAAATGCAACTTCCAAGCACAGTTCAAAATCCTGGAATTCAACAGCCAATGATGTTCCAAAATCCTGGAATGCAACAGCCAGGGATTGTTCAGAACCCTGAAATACAACAGCCAAGAATGGTACAACTTCCCGAAATGCAACAGCCAAGAATGGTACAAAATCCCGAAATGCAACAGCCAAGAAAGGTACAAAATCCCGAAATGCAACAGCCAAGGATGACTCAAAATCCTGAAATGCAACAGCCAAGAATGGTGCAAAATCATGGAATGCAGCAGCCAAGGATGATTCAAAATTCCGTAATGCAACAACCAAGGTTTGTTCAAAATCCTGAAATACAACAACCAAGAATGGTGCAAAATCCTGGAATGCAACAGCCAAGGATGATTCAAAATCCTGAAATGCAACAGCCAAGGATGATTCAAAATCCTGAAATGCAACAGCCAAGGATGATTCAATATCCTGTAATGCAACAGCCAAGAATGGTTCAAAATCTACCAAGGATGGTTCAAAATACTGAAATGCAACCACCAAGGATGATTCAGAATCCTGGAATACATCAGCCAAGGATAATTCAAAATCCTAAAATGCAACAGCCAAGGATGATTCAAAATCCTGGAATACAACAACCAATGATGGTTCAAAATCCTGGAATGCAACAGCCAGGGATGCCTCAAACTCCTGGAATGCAACAGCCAAGGATTGTTCAAAATCCTGGAATACAACAACCAATGATGGTTCAAAACCCTGGAATGCAACAGCCAGGGATGCCTCAAACTCCTGGAATGCAACAGCCGAGGATTGTTCATAATCATGAAATACAACAGCCAAGATTGGTTCAAAATCTTAATATGCAACTGCCAAGGATGTCTCAAAATCGTGGAATGCAACAGCCAGGGATTGCTCAAAATCCTGAAATTCAGCAACCAAGAATGATTCAAAACCCTGAAATTCAGCAGCCAAGAATGATTCAAAACACTGGAATGCGACAGCCTGGAATGATTCAAAATCCTGGAATGCAACAGCAAAGAATGAATCCTGAAATGCAACAACCAAGAATGGCTCAAAATCCTGGAATGCAACTGCAAAGGTTGAATCCTGAAATGCAACAACCAAGAATGGTTCAAAATCCTGAAATACAGCAACCAAGAATTGTTCAAAATCCTGGAACTCATCAGTTACAAATAGATCAAAAGCGATTTCCAGAATTAGTTCATTATCCAAGTACCATTCAACGGCAATTTTCAAACACTACTGTAATGCAACCTTCTGGATTTGTTCATCTTGTTACATCTCAAACTGGGGTCCAGAATCCTACTCCTGGAGTTCATCAGTCTCTCATTGGAGTTCAACAGACTTCCCCTGGAGTTCAACAAAGTCACCCTGGAGTTCAACAGCCTCCCAGTGGAGTTCAACAGCCTCTCATTAGAGTTCAACAACCTTACTCTGGAGTTCGGTTGGCATCTGCTACATTTCAGCAGCCTCCACCTGGAGTTCAACAGCCTCCTCCAGGAGTTCAACAGCCTCCCAGTGGAGTTCAACAGCCTCCCAGTGGAGTTCAACAGCCTCTCATTGGAGTTCAACAACCTCACTCTGGAGTTCGGTTGGCTTCTGCTACATTTCAGCAGCCTCCCCCTGTAGTTCAACAGCCTCCTCTTGGAGTTCAACAGACTCCCTCAGGAGTTCAACAGACTTCCTCTGGAGTTCAACAGCCTCCTCCAGGAGTTCAACAGACTCCCTCTGAAGTTCAACAGTTCTCCTCTGGAGTACAGCAGCCATTTGCTACAATTCAGCAGGCTTCCCTTGGAGTTCAACAGCCTCTCCTAGGAGTTCATCAACCTCCTCTCAGAGTTCAACAGCTTCCTTCTAGAGTTCAGCAGTCTCCCTTTGAATTTCGCCAGCCTCTTCATGGAATTCAACAGCCTCCCCATGGAAGTCAACACCACCCCCATGAAATCCAAGAGCCTAGCCATAAAATTCAAGAGTCTCTTCCTCTTGGCATTCTACCAGCAATTGGATCTACATTATCAGTCAAAAAAGCATCTAAGAACCCTCAAATGTCACTTGCCTCATACTATGATGAACAAGATGCAATGTATGGTCCTTCTGAACCTACTGATAACAAATCAGATAAGAAGCCTCCATTGCCCCTAGAACCCCCTTTGCCGAAAGAACCCCCTTCACCAAAGGAACCCCCTTTGTCATCTCCCAAGACAATGAAGATTGAAACACCTATTTCACCATCAACAAACACACATGGAAGCATACCAAAACCAACTGTGTTACCAATAAATGAATCTTCTGAGAATAAAAGTTTGCCTTCTGAATTGGTTGAAAATGAGAAGGGTCAAGTATCGGTTGATAATGAGCAGAACAAGCCAGCACCGGTCAAATATAAGCAAAATGAGCCGGCATTGGATGAAAATGACCAGACTGAGCCAGCATTAAATGATGGTGAGAAGCCAAAGTTAGACGAAAAGAAGGTTGTTAAGTTAAAACAGCAAAAGCGCAAAATGGAAGACATGTACAAGGAGACTTTGAAATCAACTAAAAAAATGCGAAGAGATATTGATGAGGCTTTAAAGCAGCGTAAAAGAGATATTGAAATAAAAAAAGAAAAAGAACAACAGCGAAAGAGAGATATTGAAGAAGAAAAAAAGAGGCAGCATTTAGTAGCCATTGAAAGAAGAGAAAGAAGGCTCATGGCAAAAATTGAAACTGAAAATGAACTCAAAAGAGCAGAACTTAAATTGAATGCTAAAAAACGTTGTCATGAATCAAAAACATGGGCAAAACATGTGGTTAATTTAGTAGAAACACCTGCCCTTGATTCAGTTGAAAAACCTGCCCTCGATTCATTTGAAAAATCTACCCTTGATTCAGTTCAACAACCACCCCTTCATTCAAAGGAAATGCTCGCCCTTGATTTAGTAGAAACACATGTTAAAGATCCAGTAGAAACAACAATAACTGCATCAGGAGAGGAAATCAATCCAAGAACAGCCATTGATAAAACCATTGAATACCAATTAACAGAACTTACATCATGTGCTCAGAATTTGTTGAAGAATCAACATGAAAAGCTGAAAGAAACTGCTAAGGGAGTCCTAAACAATGTTCTTGTGGGACCACAAGGACATACACAACCATCTGGAAAGAAAAATATGTCTCTACATTCCTATGTTGATGAACTTTTGGACAACACATATGATCAATATGACCCTGCAGAACCAACCAATGAAGAGACAGAGGATGGAGATATTGTTGCTTATGATGAAAGTATACATGAACCAAACGTTGATTTGGATACATGTGACCAGGAATACAAAGAAAATGTTGATGGTGCTACTGAAAAGGATGAAAAGATTCAGCAATATGCAAGTATTGGATTCAAAGATACGATTTGTGAACCTAAGATCGAAGAAAGGGTAAATGTTCACACAAGGAGCCCAAGTGCAATAGAGAAAGAGTTGTACGGAGAAGATTACCAACCAATAGAAATAGAGTATCCACCTGAAGAATCTGATGAAGAGGTTGAGTACATTCAAGAAGAGCCTCTTGTGGAAGAAAAATATGTCCCAGAGGAGTCAGATGAGTTGGAAAGAGAACTGTATGGCGATGACTACACACCTATAGAGATAAAATATGAGGACCCTGACAAAAATGAGTTTGATGAGGCTGATATATTTGAGAGAAATAAGGAAGAAGATTTCTATATTACGCAAATGGAACAGTTCAGGAAATCCATGCATAATCAAAATGAATCGAGTGAAGTTCAAGATATGGATGATACAACATCACTAATAACCATAAGTGACACCGAACCATGTATAAATGACACTGACCAGATATCAAATCCTAAAATGGTTGAGGAAAAACGTTCAGCATCTGAATCTGAAGATGGATTAATACTGTCTCATATAGAGATACTGGGTGAGCTTGAGGAGCTGGAAACCAAAGTCAAAGTGCCACATAGACAAGGTACAACCAAAAAACTGAAAGAGAGATTCATTGCATACCAAAGTGTCAAAAGTGAAGAGCCTGAAATATCTGAGATGCCGACAGAGGAAGATTTGGAAGAATTTTATAAGATCTCTGCTTCAGCTGAGCGAAAAACGAGTCCACGTGGAAGAAAAATTGCTGGACATGGCCCCATTCTTTGTTATAATACACCTAAGAATCACAATATTCCTGATAATCAGCAAAGCATGCCTAATCAGAACAATGTACCTAATCAGCAAGGTTTACCCAATCAGGAAAATAGCGCTGATCTATCTAATCAGCAACATGAAAATGTCCAAGCTATGATACAGATATCTGATTGTAACAAACAAAAGGCTGACCAATATCATAGACAAAAATTTAAAAAGCAGCGGTACAAATCTAAGAAAAAGCCTTATATATCAAAGCAACAACAACCCAGGCAACATATAGTTCATGGGGTTACTCAAGCAAAACAAGAAACTCAAAATGAAAATATGCCTCGTCAGCACAGTGAGTCTAATCAGCCCAGCAAACATCAACATCAAAATGAGATCTATCCAATAGAATCAAAACAAACTTTGAAGAATGAAACTAGTAATCCAAATAAGGGTAAAGTATTACTCCCAACTCCAAACATAGCAATAAGCCTTGGCTCTTCAAGTACTTCTGTCTCTGACAATATTACAGGAACATCTAAACCAGCAAACCACAATAAAGAAAAGCAGCCCGAGGCTCAAAATCGAAGAAAAGTGCTTCTTCCTACTCCAGTTCAAGCAAAAGCTGTAGAAAAAACAGCAGTTTTTCCCACAGCATTGGAAGTTAGCCAGCCACCATTCCATGGGAATATCAATCAGTTACCTTCAGAAGTACCAGCAGATCAGGCTACTGTATTTGAGGTTAGTCAGCCACCATCCATAGTTGTAACTACAGATCAGTCAAGGGGTGATGTTGACCTTAGGCCCCCAGTCAAAGAACAGAATGCAACAAAAATATTCTCCAAAGATCTAGATTTAAGGGAGAAAGAGACAGTTGATAGAGATGAAAGGAAAATAACACCCAAGAAAGATACTGATCACAGGAGTGAATTATCTAATAAGGATTTAGATCTTAGAGACCATACACATTATGGAAATCAAGAAAAGTTGTCTCAAAAGGGACACAAAATTACCCAGGATTCAGATCTGAGGGGGGAAATGAATACCCAGAGTTTGAATCAGAAAGAAAAAATTGGTATTGAGGATTCAGACCTAAGGGAGAAAGGTGAGACCCAGGATTCAAATCAAAGAATCCAAACTACACTTCTTGATTCTGACCAGAGAAAGCTTGATGTTGACCAGAGGGATCGAAAACCTCTTCTTGACACCAAACCAAGTGTTCAGTCTAGTAGTTCGGTAAATACAGTGATTCAAGACAAAATAGGTAAAAGGGGACGAAGTCACGCTGGTGGAGATTTAAGAGGAAAGAGCTATGAGAGGGCAAATCCTAGGGGGCAAGGTAGGGGCAATGCTAGAGGACAGAGAAGAGGTAGAGGTAGAGGAATTGTAAGAGAAGGGCGTGGAAGAGGGAATTCAAAGGGAGAGAATATGGATAGACCACGCAGAAGTTGTAGTCCACAGAGTGAAACAAGGAGGCCAGAGTATAATCATCACAATGATGATGGAAGACATAGATCAAGAAGTCCATTTGGAGAAAAACATCTTCCTTTTGACGGAAGACATAGTTCATATGAAGGAGATCAAAGGAGAAAATGGAACAGCCCAAATAGAGACGATAGAGCATCTAGTTCCCATGATAGAGCACATAGCCCTTTTGAACAAGGACATCCTCATTTTGATAGAGGACACAGTCCATATCATTGGGAGCAAAGCTCATTTGAAAGAGGCCATAGCCCCTTTGAACGAGGGCGTAGCCCTTTTGAGAGAGGACCTTCTCCTTTTGAAAGAACACATAGCCCTAGAAGACACAGCCCTTTTGAAAGAGGACGTCCTCAATTTGAACAAGAACATGGCCCATTTGATAGAGAACATGGGTCATTTGAAAGAAAACAGGGATCTTTTGAGAGAGAAGCCCATCATATTGAACGAGGGCATAGCCCTAGAAGACATAGTCCGTTTGAAGGAAGATCTCATTTTGAGCGAGGGCACAGTCCATTTGAACGAGGACCTCCACCTTTTGAAAGAGGACATAGCCCATATCAAAACAGGGATCATGCGAGACAGTGGCATAGCCCTCATAGAGACGACAGAGGACATAGTCCATTTGAAAGAAGACATAGCCCATTTGAAAGAAGACATAGTCCATTTGAGAGAAGATATGGTTCATTTGAAAGAAGACATAGTCCATGTGAAAGAAGACGTAGTCCATTTGAAAGAAGACATAGCCCATTTGAAAGAGGGCATAGTCCATTTGAAAGAAGACATAGTCCATTTGAAAGAGGACGAAGTCCGTTTGAAAGAAGACATAGTCCATTTGAAAGAGGACAAAGTCCATTTGAAAGAAGGCATGGACCATTTGAAAGGGCACAAAGTCCCTTTAGAAAAGAGGATGAAAGAAAACATTGGAATAGCCCTGGCAGAGATGAAGAATACCACAGAGAACATAGGCCAAGAGGTTCCTGGCATAGTCCACCAAGAGATGGAAGAGATTTTAGGCCTCCGTTTGACGGCCGGGATAGGCATTGGGATAATCATGAACCTCGTGATCCAAGGTACCACTGAACATAGGCACAATGCTTAAGAAGCTACGTGTATCTATAGATTTTAAGGATTCTATGAAAAGCATTGTGCTGTCCATGTTATCAGAATATATGACATTAAACTACATGATGTAAGCGGCCATGTCAAGTAGCATAACATAATGAATGTTGAGTTCAATGTAGTTATGCAATCAGATTTGACCAAATTTTGAAGGAGTATGATGTAAATGGATGTTGACAACTATATAGCTATGCCGTCAGATTTGACAAAGTTTTGAAGGAGTATGATATGAATGGATGTTGACAACAATATAGCTATGCCGTCAGATTTGACCAAATTTTGAAGGAGTATGATGTAAATGGATGTTGACAACTATATAGCTATGCCGTCAGATTTGACAAAGTTTTGAAGGAGTATGATATGAATGGATGTTGACAACAATATAGCTATGCAGTCAGATTTGACAAAATTTTGAAGGAGTATGATATGAATGGATGTTGACAACAATATAGCTATGCCGTCAGATTTGACCAAATTTTGAAGGAGTATGATGTAAATGGATGTTGACAACTATATAGCTATGCCGTCAGATTTGACAAAGTTTTGAAGGAGTATGATATGAATGGATGTTGACAACAATATACAGTACAAGTATTTTCAAAGCTCACACCATGCCATGCCGTCGAGATGCCGGCTGCTCTACGCGTGCATCGCAACCGCTGCACGCCCGCTCTTCGTCTGTGCGACGAGCGCTCTTCGTGCTCACAGCGACAGCGATTCTACTGCTTAGCTAGCGCTTAGCATGCGCTATACGACCGATGTAGTTATCAGATTGTAATTTATACATGTATGCACTGTACATATGCTTAGCGGTAGAATTCACAGTGAGCACGAAATGAAAGCAAGTTTGTTTAGATTGTAATTGAACTGGATGTTTTTATATCCATTATACTGTATGCGGTCGTAATTAACCATTGGTTCACTAATATGCTCGATACTTTAAATGAATAAATTGGTAGTAAGTTTATCAGTTGAAAAAGCCATAATACACACAAACAACATGTAACTGAATTCAAATTGTATATAATCCACGGTGTTTTCTTTTTTGGAAACACTCCGATAGGCATCGCCATCGGGATAGTTCTGCCGATCGGCAAAGTCATCGGGACGGCATTTCCGTCGGCACAGTGTACATCAATGCATTGTGCAACTTACCTGTACATCGGAGGATCCAAGAAAACATCGATAAACTCATAATAATATTTCTTGAGAGTTAGATTATGTTTTGAGCGGGTAAAAATTGTGTCCACTATTAAGTTATATTCTTGAAACAATTCAATAAATAAGTATACTTAGAACTAGTTTTTTTCAATAATAACTATTATTGCCGTTTTAAAAATGTAGAAATCCTTTTATAGAGCATTCTGTACCATAATTTATAAAATAATCTTTCAGACGGGCAAATCACAATGAGGACAAATGTTTACATGAACGATCTTGTTTCCATTTCGTAAAAACAAAAATATTGAAGTACGATATTAGATCGGATATTAGCGTACCTCTGTGGAAAAGAATCAAAAGATACTCGCAGTATGATGATTTGTCATTTTAGAAATTCGTCAATTTGACTAAACTATCCCCCGGAACTAGCCTTTCAGGAAAAGCAAATGCGACAGATACATGTATCTAAAGAAAGTTACATTTTATTCTTGATTTCAGGGAATAATTGTAATGATAAACAGAAATTGCAATTATTATTGTTTTGCTCTAACATTCAATTATGATTCAACGCTTTCCCTCAATTTCTATCAGATCATCGATCCCAGACTTCAGCAAATATTCCAATCATATTTTGCGTTTTATCAACTTTTCGAAAAGCTATACGCATATGATACTACAACTACTAACTGACAGTGGTTTATCGTAACTTTTTGCAAATATGGATGTTTATACTGCTTGTATCTTATTCCAGGGAGTTTTATAGAGACAGGACTTCCTCTTCACAATGTAATTATATATTTTCTGTTTTGTAGGTTCCCGTGGGTAAGATACCAACAAGAACAATACGGCCCATCCTAAAGGGCACAGACCCGTCAGTGGCGTTCTTCAAGTTATAGCACATGGAGATATAGTTTGTGAATCTTGCCTACACAGCTGCTCGATACAAGTGCAAAATACAAAATAATAACCCTAATATAATATAGATAAATGTTTGGCATGCATTGTGTTTCTGTTTCATTGTTAAATTATTTGATAACTTATAATAAGCAGATAAGTTAGTTGCTTTTCAGGTATTAAGCGGCGATGTAGGACTGAAAACCAGCGTCACACATGTACATTTTCTCGGATATTCCTCCATAAGCAGATATACTTTGTTTGCATGTTTTAATTTTGATTTGATTTGTTTTTTTTTTGAATTACACGAATTAGATAAAGTCTTTCAAATGTCACCAGTCTTTGGTGGTGAGATTTCATGTAGGAATTAGAATTAGATTAAGATTTATTACGATCTGTTTTGTTTGCATCGTTCATTGTATAACGTTGATAAAACACAAGGGCAGCATTGGAATTACAGAATTGTGCGATTCCCTACCTCCCATTCATAGATTTAGTCTCTTGCCATGGTATTCAAAATTATATTTGTTCTGTCATTCTGATTCCCGTGTCGGGACATTCTGATCTATCGGAGTCTCACTTTCTCTAACCCTTTGGTATTCCAAAGGATAAAACTTGCTGTGGATCACACAATGGTGTCGGGAGATTAAACCAGTGAATGTTCTGATCGTCGCAACATTCGATACACCGAGAGATTTCACGGATTCATACATGCATACTGTACATGTATATTCAGCGCAGTATGCATGTACATTCCATATATCCTTCCAATAATAAGTGCTGCATGTATAAACCTGTGAAACCTCTCGGTCCATCGGATGTTGTGACGATCGGAACATTTTACTGGTTAAATCTCCCGATACTGGAAATAAGAATGACAGGGGAAATCTGGGAAATCTTTTTCATACTTTGTCATTCCGTTCTTAATATATTGTATAATATAGGCTATTTGTATTCTGTTTTACGGGTTCCCATTGAAATTGGTTACAACACAGGCAATATATCGCAGGTTAAATAAGTGTTCAACAATTAAACACGGCGGTCTTCATTTTATAGTTCATGAAAATTGCCTCAAGTACAATGTCAAAATCTCATGATGATTTCTTCCGACCTATGTTTACTGACGAGAGAGGGGGTACGCAGTTGCTTGAAGAAAGCATAAACTATGAAAAATCCATAGTCCGATAATTAATTAATTGGCACGAATCTGTTAATTGTTTTTGTTATTGTTACTTGATTAGACGGATTTTCAGATATTATCTGCATTGAGATGGCTGATTATAAGGCATGAATATTTTTTCCAGTTATGTTAATTGTTATTTTATATGTTTGGAATATTTATTTATCCATCCATTTTTCATTTTGATATACTTTTCAAAGCTACTTTTGGTTTTATCTCTGTGTTTTATTTATAATAATTTTCAACAGAGTTAGGACTAGCCTACAAGGAATTCCATATAGCCTATAATTGATTTTAATTTAATAAAGTTTGCTGATAATTGATTTAAGTGTAGAAATGGTAACGCTCCCGAAGAGTGCATGTGTGCCTGGCAGGATCGCCAATAGAATTGCATGCTTCGTTTTGTTTTGATAGTTAGTTTAGAACTTTTGCCACATGAAGTATTCAATCCATATACGCAAACGTGCGTGTACTTTGAAGGGCTTTGAAGTCTCTGGTAACATTAAATTTTAGGGTTTCGAAGCCATTTCCACCTCCTCCGGTATTCTTTCTGTGGGAGAGGTTTTTCAAAAATAATTATAAACTTTTGAGACCTTTGGGGGTATACGCTAGATCAAGTCACATATCCTTATATATTTAGTTTTTTTCCTGAAGGATTAGAAAATAAAAATTCAAACATAGAGAGGCAAAGACGTGAAAGTGTGGGAAGTTTTAATATTTAATTTATGCTTTTCTTTCATTCAAATGGCAACCCTCGAATATAATTGCAATTGACCTCCATTGCATTTGAAGGGGGAGGGGGTTCAATCATCGCCTTTCTCCAAAGTTTATTTAAAATCGTGCAGTTTTTCATGATTCTGAGCTCTTTTAACTTAAGTGATGACCAATGTTGTTTAATGTGGACCCCCTGCCCCAATCACTGGAAATGGCTACGGGCCTGAAATGGCAAATATTGTCATTGATTTCTCGAAAGCTCATAATACACCCAATCCACAAGGTGGGTCTGAAGGTGAAAACCAAGACGATCTCTGTAATCAAAGGCTGAGACGATATTTTCTATAATCAGAGTCCTAGACGACTTCTGCTGTAACCAGAGTCCTGGGCTTTTAGACTTTCTCATAATTAAAGTAGCCAAACATCCGCTGAACAGGGAAATTGATGGATTAATGAATAATCTTTTGTTTGTTATTTTAATTATAATTATTGTTTTGACAAATATAAAACGTTTGTTTCCGATTATAATACAAGTGTATGTATCAAATCCATCATGTGAAGCAATCCCTAAAAGCAGAACAAGACAGCCACAATAACCACCTTGTTCTAAGGGTATAACTTCTAGTTTAGAAGTCTTATATTTTACTATATGACTTGGGCAATAGCGGGCCATAGGGCAGTGACCAGTCGTAGTGGTATTCCAAAATGAATATCAACATTCAGCATTGAACAAACTGAAACTAAACCTTTTTGAAAAATTCCAAGGGTCACATTTAACAATGAAAACTTTCGCCCAAAAGCACGTGTTCACTGCTCAAAATGTAGCAAAACTGACCATGGGCCTGAATCTCATCCCCCCCATTTAGTTCCATCACTGACATTCATTTATATCATAATTTTATATATTTAGTATTATTGAGAATGTAAGCTGGACAGTCATATAATAAAACAAATATTTCGTTTATTTTATTTATCTCAGGCCCGTAGCCAGGATTTGCCAGGGGGGATTCGTGGAATACTAGTACATGTGGTATCACTTTTGAAAGATGTACAAGTATTCACCACAATAGAGTGAAATATTTGCTAAATAATCATAAGAAATAAACATCTGCAGCGGCAGCAGTGCAACATCTTTATATTAAAATTAATAAAAAGAGCATGCTATAAACTGTAACTATATATAAGCTTATATTATGTAACATGCAAAAACAATAAATCTATTTCAATATTGCTAATATAGAGCTTTTTGCCTTCGAAATTGTCACGATTGCCGCCACCTGTAATAAAACAATAGAGAGGTTAAGCTACACGTTCTTTAGGTGAACGCGTAAAACTTATTTTTCCCTGGGGTACAGGCCCGTAGCGAGGGGGGTTCGATGGGTTCGGGCGACCCCCCCTGGCCAAAAATTTTCTCAAAATTTTGCAGTTTTCTGAGCATTTTTAAGTGATTTTGGCCATTTTTGGACCAAAATTGTCACAAGTGAACCCCCCCCTGGAATTTATCAAAAAGTGAACCCCCCATTGGCAAATCCTGGCTACGGGTCTGGGGTATATCTCTCAAAGTTGTCTTTAAATTTGACTAGTTTAGTATAAAGATCTTAGGTAAGTTGTTATTATTATAAACCGTTGGATGG